ATGTGGAGACGCGGTGGCCTCATGGTTAGTGCGCTCGTCCTGCAGGTACTTCAGTGACCAATCACTGGCACGGACTTAATTTTTAACTGACGTCATCATTTCACTAGGAGATTAAAACGAAAAGCAACCAGAGGTCGCCATTTTTGCCTTATCGATGCGCGCTCATGTTTGGACCGAAACTGCTCTATTTCGCGGGAAAAAAAGCTGATATTTTGGGCAAGGAACTTTTTTTTTCAGCCGTTACCAAATGTTCCTTGCGCGCTGGCCTCTTTTTCCATGATAACTTATCGAGTAGAATGTTCTCACGAGTTACAGTTCAAGTCCCTTTTGAGTGATTGTCCTCGATTGTCTGCCATTGTGTTGGCACCGCTGACCGACACATTATAACATGTACAGGCGCAAATGTCGCTTGGGACCACGCGACCGAAATTTTGCTCAATCTCAAGTATCATATCATTACTAAATCAGCAGTTAAGCAATATTCCTGAACACAGCTGCATGAACAAACCCTTAAAAGTCATGACGTCCAGTGGTAAATATCTGAGGGAGGTCGAAGGGCGAAACGTTACATTAAATTGAGTAGGACCTAGCAGTCAGAAGTTTATCTTTCCGAGAGATCTCTGTGATTGTCCCACAGGCAAGTTGTCTGAGCGCTTTCCTCTCGTCTATTGAGTGCCCAAAATGTAAAGTACAGGTTTTTATTTGTCACTTTGGATGCTAAATGTTCCTACAACTGTTGTTATTGTTGCTGCTGTTATTGTTGCTGCTGCTATTGTTGTTGCTGTTCCTGCTACTACTGCTGTTGCTGCTGCGGATGTTGTTGTTACTGTTCTGGTTCTGGTTTCCGGTTCTGATTTTTCGTGTTCTTGTTTGCCTAAATGCGTAATGTTCTTTTTATCTCCCATGTGAAGATTAAGACGACTTACTGAAGACCATGCCCGCGCAAATGAAAGCGGTACTGAGAACATTTCAAGTTCCAACAGACCCTCGGCACTAGAGAGGAATTACACACAGTTTTATGATCATGAAAGGATGGATGTCATTGAATGTATCGAAAACTCACGTATCCACAAGGAACGCAATAGATGGGCTGAAATAGAAGATTGTCGTGTCGCGTGTATCATTTTTGAGGTAAGCCACTGTTGAGAAGTTGCTGGAGATCCATACGAATAACTTGGTACTTCTATTATGCAGAGATGTTATGCTGCTGTCCCCGTTCATTTCAGTTGAATCTGGACATAAAATTTCAGGGCAGAGAGGTTATCAATTGAAAACCCGTCAGCAGAGAAAGTCCTTTGTTAGCAAAGATTTTGAACGTGTTAACAACTTCTGATTATTTTGAAACGAAAAAGTGAAAACGTCCAAAACTTTACATAGTTTTGTGATTTGTCATTGCCTTTTTTAGGAGTCTTTTGCAGCTGCCCTTTCTTTAAAAGAAAGTTCCATTAAAGGCATTTCTTGGATTTTGTCGTCAGCACCGTTCATAGGAGCTCAATACGCCGAGACAAGGACAAAAGAAGTAATTATGCCCATAAATAAATTAATGATTAGTTAGCTACTCATTATTTCATGGGCACAGAGACCGAACTTATTTAGGCCAGTTTCTTAGTTGGAATACAGAAGGGTAGAAAATGGAAGGCTGAAAGTGCCCATAGTTGCTTCAAACGTTAAAAACCTCAAAAGAAATATTAAACAATAATTATGAGATCTCATGATTTTATCCAAAATTCATCAAGGAAAATTTGTAATAATTTGTTTGTTATTGTTTCTTTAAAGGGTAGCGATCCTCAGTGTTATTCTGTCAATACTGAAGGTGGGCGTCCCTGCACACTTGACCAAAGTAGCCTTAACAGCTTGAACGTGATTTTGAAAGAGACTGCAGAGAGTTGTGACGTGCACGCCCTTGTACAGGTAATGTAATCATTACCCTCTACCCCTGCAAAACAAGACTTAGTTTAAAAAAAAAAGAATACAAAGAGGTTTGCAATATGTAAAGAAACGTAATCCAATATGGAGATAAATTTGTAGAAAAGGGAAAAACCGATTGAAAAATGTTGTAAGACAATTAAAACAACACATTTTGTACACTAGTATTTTCCTGCTGAGATGGATATTTCGGCAAAAACTCAGCTGGGAAATGGGATCTAGGAAACATTTATACAGGGAAGTGGGATTTATAAGCCCCTTACTCCCTTCCTTCAGGATCCAGGGCCGTACCAAGAATTTTTTGTTAGCGGGGGCAAACTCCGCACACCTTTACAGGGGTCTCCCGTATACAGACAGGGTTTCTAGTTGGACGTTTTGTTTTCACCCCTACACAGAAGGTTGCCTCTAAGACCTTTAAGGAAACAAACCATACTGATGCTTTTGGTTTAAACTGTCATGATTTATTATGGCATAAGCACCTTGTTTAGTTTGAAATTGCCCCTGAGGTCTCTGCCACACAATGATGATTTATGTACCATCTTTAAATCAAGCTATACTGTGAACAGCAGTTTAACACTTTCTTTGGATGGTTTCAAAAATGGTTTGAAAGCCTTCGTTAGTTTGAACAGAGATTGGCTTGAAGGAACTGAGCTAAAATTGCAGGTTTTGGCATCAGAATACCAACTTGAAGGCTCAAAAACGAGTCTATATTAGGCTGTTCTAGATTCTTCTCCAATTTGACTTCACGTCATAGATCTCTTTTGGAGTGGGAATGAAGTCCGTTCCGCGATGAGTTAACAGCATAGCGAGGCTACTTAATCTATCTTCTGTCAATGATGACCGCGTCCACTGCTTAAGACGGCGTATCGCTATGAAACGGAGAGTTCGCAACAGACGCTTCCGACAGACGTGGTTAGAAAGATCGACTGCACCTTGTGAATAGCGGGAAATTCTTACGGACTGCAATCAGGCATTGCTCCCTCTTGTTCTGACTCTGGCTCCATCGCGTGTTTTAGCCTCCACCTCGCCAGCTCTGCGTCAAAATTAGACTTCTCTGAGAAATCTAGATGTTTGCAGGAGCTGGGCGCTTCCTTCCCGACATTTTCTCAGCGGACTGAGAGAGAAACGTTTTGGACACGTTGGCAAGAAACACGCGTCAACTGTTTCCCGCCAAATTCTAAACCACAGGCAGCCCAAATCACATAATCATTATTGTCATAAGAAAACTCGTACTGGCTTTTGCCTCGAAAGATTTGCCAAAATAATTATTTGTAATTTGCATCGCAGGAAGATTTTTCAGTAAATTATTCGGTTTCTTGAGATTTCGGACCAATATAACTACAAGAAATAGATCAATAAATGAAAATAAATCAAAAATAAAAATAAATAAATCAAAAATGAATTAAACACTATGTTAGAAAAAAAAAAACATTTACTGAACATATACAGATTTACTTGATACTGGATAAACAGTCAGGCCTGGGTTGTTTGAAAGGTGGGTAACGTGGTTTGTTTTGTTAACACTTAGTGAGAGTGATAGTGATTTATCCGAAGGACAGCATTATCCAACTTTCGAACAACTGTGGTCAGGTGTATCGTGTCAGGTGTATCGTGACAGTAATGATACATCTTGGTAATAGATGTCCGACAGAAGCAGTTAAACGTAGACATGATGATAGATGCGAATGCAGGCATAACAGTACTGGAAAAAAGACCTGAAAAAATTTTCTGGCTTTGCGCTAGTCTCCTAGCTCTCCTAACTGGGCTATCAAAGCCACATAAGAACGGTCGCGTGTGGGTTGGCCCTTCCCTAGTTCCTAGGCCTCAATATTTCGCCGCGGCCAATCGTTTCGGGTCACGTGGTCCGGGGCGAAAGGGTGGCCTGGACAAAAACTCGAAAATTGAGAAAATTTGTCTCAATTCTTGACTGAGCCGATTTCGTGCCGAGGAGGGTGTTCTCTGGGCATTTCCGGGACGGTGACTGCTAGAGAAAAGCAATTTAAACTCTTCGCTTTTGTTTTAATGTTAACTGATCAAGTTAAACGGTTCATTTGGATCCAAACGGACATTATCGAGTCAGAGGCATCGCCGCTTTCAAACCACATGCACTGGCAAATGGCACGTACTAAAACCCGAAACAACAAAAGGAAACGAGCGAAACGAAACCACTGAAACAAGCAAAACGACCGAAACGAGTGAAATAGTAAGTAAATAAATAAAAAAGGTAAAAAACACCTTGATCTCTAGCACGTTACTATGGCAGCCGGATCTCGTACCTAGATCCTGCTCTTAAGCCACACGTATGACATCGTGGCATCACAAACCTGAAAGGTTCCTGAAAGGCGGATGAGCACAAGCGTGTCGAGCAGGAAGACATCGAGAAAAAGGTGGGTATTTTCACATTCTTAATGGTATTCTAGCTAAAACAAGAAATCTAATTTCAAAGAAAGGTTTTCTGGTCGTATCGTGGATTCTTAGACGGTGGCGAATCGAATGGTCTTTTCGAGAATGGCTTTGCAGCATTCTTCCTACGAACCAGGACTTTCTTTAATATATATCTCTAAAGAAAAACGAGCGCGACTGCACAGGCTTTAATCATATTAACGTCAGGCCATCGTGACTCCTGCAGTTCTCAAAGTAATTTCTTATTAGGCGCTCAGCTCTTTACAGATATTCTTGAGATT